ACAGAGCTGATGTGTCTACAGCAGCGATGATGGATGGAGCTGCACATCCTCATGGGTTAACAGTTAACTAAACCAGATATAGAACTGAGGGATGAAGGCAGCACAGCATCCTCTCTGTCTGCGCCTGCTTGGTCCTGTTTATTGAATTAAACTTCAGTACAACCGCTGCCTCTTTTTTCTCTCCCCTCATCTCTACTTAATTTGATCAGAGAATCTGCTGATGCAGTGTGTGCCCTCCTCATGTGAAACCAATTTAAAGCTACACATAAAAATCTGGTGTCTCTTCTCTCTCTCTCTCTCTCACACACACATACAGAAACAGAGGGTGTGGTGTGTGCTGTTAGTCAGAGATAAAGAGGGGCTCTTCTAGAGATCTGCTTGTATTAAACACAGCAGGAGAAGACACCTAATGGTTTGTGCACAGGTGAGAAAGGTACTTTTGGTGCAAAAGCACTGGGTCTTATTCTTTGCAGAATTCAATTTTAAATTCAACCAAAAGAGAGATGAGACATCAGCAGTCTCGTCTTGTCACAGTTCAAATCTTTTTCAGTGTGAACTTGTTGCTTTGTGTGTACTATTCAGAAACTTGAGGCAGTGCGCCCCTGAATACAGACATGTAAAAGTTTGACAACCCCTCCAAAATCAGAGCACGGGCCTCAGGTTCAAAGATGCATTATTAGACTGTTCTGTCTATTCTAACTTTTGTGTCTTTTTTGTTGGCGCTTTTATTCTTATTTCTTATCTCTTTTAAGTTATTTTGTGAATCTCTATGTTTTTTTTTTACTATCTACATCTCAGTAGACCTACCGCATCATTGTGTAGTCGTACTTTGTGTTCTTTGTCACTCTTTGGTTGTCTTGCTTTTTTTATATATATACTGTATATATCTGTGGGTTTTTATATCTGTTTTTGTGATCTATCTGGCGGCCTTTATGTCTTGTGGCTGATTTGCGTCTCTTTGTGGTTTTCTTTTGTCTCTTTTTGGTCAATCTGGTGTCTTTTCTGTATCCTGTGTATTTTTCTTGTTTTTCTTGGCCACTGTACATTGCTCTGAAGCTAGCTCAGTGCCATTCCTCTATCTTGTCAAGAATCACTGTACACAGAAATACAAAGAGAACACTTTACGTGAAAAAAAACAAACTTTGTAAAATACCTTGTGGATTTAATTAAGACAGACTTTATGAAGCCTCATATTAGCTTCCCCTGAATGTCAGAAAAGAGATTGTTCAGAAAAAGGACAGTGGATTGTCTCGCATATCTTTCAAATATGTTCAGGAAGACAAATCCTCAAATGTTCATTATATCAGCAGGGATGACAAGGTTGAGTCCTAAAGAAAACCCAGTTTATTCTTTTGTCACAATTTAAAGCATGCATGAATCAAAACCAAATCCTGCATAGAATCATAAACAACTGAGTAGCCTTTATCAAACCTTTAAAATCATAGACTCATGAAACACCTGATTTGCTGGATAATTTTTGGGTCACATAAGACGCAATGAAAACACTATGACAGCATAGTTTAAACACACTTAGTTTGTTTTGTCCAGATGCCTCGATGGAAACACATCAGGTAAGAATCTATTTTCAACCAGTCAAGAGACCAGGAATGATTAAAGCAATGGAAAACTGCTGCATATTAGAGGAGAAAGGAAAGGACACTACAACAAGGGCTTTCTGCAGATATGCAACAAGAGACAATGCTCGAAGAATCATACCCCCCCCCCCCCCAAAAATAGACTTGGGGACAGATGATGGAGTGATATCTGATCTGCAGCCATGATGTGACCAGTCCAAGTGAAGAGCTTCAACTATGAATTCCCAACATTCCTTTAATGACTTCATATATCTATCTTTGAACACACTGGGCACCACAGGAAACAGGTTACAGTCTAACTCCAGGTTCATTCTCACTCCTGTTGAATGACATGAGAACATCTGCAGAAGAAAATTGAAATCTTAGGCCAGATTACTACAGGCTGGATTTGTCATGGCTCTAGAAAGTTTCCATACATTTGTTGTTTTTAACATATCTGTGCGTTAAAAATGTTCCCATCGGTGCAGGAATACATATTTTATGCATTTCCCATCTTCTATTGCTGGCCTTTCCCACAGCCAAGCTTCAACATGGAATCACTGAGACGTAAAGTCTAACCTAGAGCCTTCTCCAGCCCATTACCCGCCCCGACACGCCTTTTAGACAACACACCGATAGCTGCAAGAGTCTCAGAGACCCCGCTGCTGGTCCACATGAAGCCTGTGCCAATGTAAACCCCCAGAGGCTCCAAGCTGTTGCATCAGTGCAGAGTCCGTCCCCCTACAGCAGCCAATAATACCTGGATATGGTTCAAACGGACAAGTCTTCATTCAGTGGAAAGCTTTTAGGGAGAATGCCACGCATGAGTGATGGATATCTGTGACGGCTCAGACTTTAGCCTGTAGCAGTGGAGTGGTTTATATTGAGAGACCTGCACTTCAAAAATATAAATCTGTTATTTTTTGTAACCTTGACTTGGCTTAAACTTTATCGAGAAAACTATTTCATGACATGTTTATATCAGCTTTTCTGTATATTTTAATCAGATAAGGGCTGCAGAGAAATACAACTAAACAAAAAGTGTCCAATTCATTATATGTTCTCTCCACGTTATTTCTTCAATTTGAGGCTGGATGCAAGCAGACACAAATCCAGCATACAAGTGTTTGAACATGAATAAGTGTAAGTGTCCAAATCCTCTTTTTTACATGCCTCTACAACCTTTTGTACAAACACATAACAGCTTAAACAAGTGCAAATAAATCTCAGCATTAAAAAAGTCAAAAAAATATATGAATGTAGTTTTGATTGTGATGCTTGAAAAAAAAAATCTGGATAAATCCATAAACACTACAAGATTTGAAGATTTATTATAATTCAAAGGCAACATCAATTTGCTGTTTTAGCAAACAAATACAAGATGTTGAGCCAAATTCCTCGAAAACTGTGAAAAAATAAAGTGAAGGCTTTAGCAGGAAATAATCATCTGTTTCTCTTTTTTTCTAAACAACACAGTGGACAATGAGGATCAAAGCGGATAAAGCAGTCAATTTAGAAAAATTGAAAACTTCGGAGATAAAAAACGAATTTAATTTGATGCAACAAAATGCAGCTATGAGCGTGAAAACACACCCGGAACCAGTAATAGGTCGAACATCTCCATATTAAAAAGACCCACATAATAAAATGAGCCAAAGGAAAGTTTGCAGTAAGAAGTGAACTCGTGACGGTATATTGGGCGAGAGAATAGTGATTTACAGGAGATGTTTTCTTATAAAACGATGAAAAATACAGGCGAAATCTCGTTAACGAATACCTGCACAGCGAGAGAGGTGCCGGTGGTGAACGAGACTACAGCGGAGAGACGTGCACGTGCACTGGGCCCAAACCAGTAAAATGGTATTTATCGAAAGAGGTTTTCAGTTTTTTCTTCAAAATGTGACCTTTGCATAAAAACTAAATGAAAGCCAGAAGATCAGTCCTGGTAGTGGAGACGAAAAACCTCGGCAGCCCACTATTGATTTCCATCTGTGGTTCTGTTTTCTTGTTGTTAATGAGTTTGTCCTTCTGCTCGGAGAAGCGCACATGTGGCCGATGTGTTGAGTTTCAACGAGTTCTGTATCGAGTCATTATTATTGCTTTAATAATGCCGGAATGGGAATAAAAGCAGAAGGGCGGAGTGAATTTATGTATGAATACATTTCAGACCTGACAGTCGCAATTCAACACTTTTAAAATCAGGCAAATAACATTAATCACAATTATTATTATAATAACAACAAAAACAATAATATTAGAATAATGTGAGATTAAAAATAGTTTACCATAATTCATTATTTATTTATAGGCCTACTCAAACTGATACCTTCACCTGCAAATTAGAATAATGGCTTATAACGTTCAAAATGAAACACAAAACAATTAAAAAATAAGCAAAGGGCCTAATGTGAGACAATATGCTAAACATGTCTTTGTTCATTTTCTACAATCGGGTTTTGTTTTTATTTTATATTAACAGCAAACGAGTTCACACGTCTGTGGCACACGCATCATAGCAAAGCTTTTCATCGTGCATCACCGACCAAATGATTCATAATTAGAGGTTAATTCAATATCAAGAAGCAGCCCTGATGGGCTCCAATTCTCCATTATTATAAGTGGATATATCCGCAGTGACAGGCTTCGCACATGTGGCCTGGTCAAACGTTGTTTGGTTTAATGTGTAATGAAAATATTTATATTATACCTGAGCTTAACATTGGTTAGCTTCAGACGCTGTTATTGCTCCAAATTCCGGGCTTGATCTTTTCATTTACATGTCCAATGAAGTCAAGTCCAAAAAAACAGACAAAAAGGGAGCACACAAACAGCTCATTAATAAGCAGACTGGCTCCTCTGACATAGATGAATACAAAAAGGCATTATTAACGTTTGATATGAAGAAAAGTCAGAGGATATGTGTTCGGATATGCAACTTCTGAAATCAAAGCGGTCACATTGATCCTCTAATTACATTAATGTCATGTGTTGTGTCTCCCGCGTGTTTACTGAAAGAGCATTTGACCTCCCATTTCTGCTTGCTGCATAACAGCGCAGGTTGCAGCTTGGTGTGGGCCTACTCCAAACTGTGTGTGTTTGTGTGGGTCTGTGTGTATGTATGTGTGTGTGTGTGTGTGTGTGTCAGATGCACTGCAGGCTACTGAGACGGAATCAGCTTGAGCGAGGCATTTCTCTTTACCCCGACAAACCTTCAGGGGGCTTTTAGCATTTGTTCAGTCTGCAGTCTCTGGAAAACATCTGATTCATTTTTTAAGCAGTCCCAGATGCGGTACAGAGTGTGAGAGTGAGTGTGCACGAGAGCGTCAGTGTGAGTTTGTCAGCGCGTGAGAATATCTACTGTCTCAGAGAAGGAAGGGGAGGGAAACCAGAAGCGTGTGGATTTTTTAAATATCACTTTTTTTAGGTATGAACGCAGCGTGCGTCTCATACTGCGATATGACATCGATGGATTCATATTATAGCACTTCTACTGCGCAGGGTAGGGACCACCAGGCGAACCCGTTCAGGACTTTCCAAAACACTGAAGCCAAATACAGCCCCACGTTCATCCCAGGTAAAGGGCAGCCGTACGGAGAGAAGCCCCGGAGTCCTTTCCAGCCGGACTGCCAGTCTTTGGATGGCGCAGAGGAGGGCGCCTTCAACAAGTCGTACCAGCTCTTCATGCAGAGAACGACCTGCAAAACTCCGCCTGAGGGGGGCAAGCTGCACCCGGACAGCGGGCTAAACGGGACGCTCCTGCCCTGCTATGGTGAGTGCGCACGAAAGAGGCTCAGACGAAGCAACACGTTGATTCTTGAGTTGAACGGAAATGCATGGCAAGAGGGAACATTTGCAAGCAATAATGGAAGGCATAATATCCTGTAGTGCGCAATAGGCTGCAGCATCTGAAATTCAAGTTATCTGTTTAAACCCACCGGGAATCCAATCAGCCAGCATTTTATAAAACTATACTGAAAATGTATATCTAAAGGTGAAATGTAGTTTCCAATCAATCGGATAAAGATAACTGTGTGAAATAAAAAGAAAACGGAATTAAAACTGACAATATAATCTTTACGCATGCAGTGTATGTGATGCATGACTTAAATCTGTAGAAATTAAGACTAAGTGCAGACGGGAGAAGTAGCTATGACCAGGGCTTAATGTGAGTAATCTATTCTTAAAAAGCAAATGATTTTGAATTTCATTTCAGGGGGAGAAAGGATTTTCAGCTCCGTAATGAAAGTGCATCAAGCAGTAATTGCATTAGAAGGCATACAACAATAATTTCAAGATATGTTTTTAGTCTGAAAGGTGTAAAAGTAAACAAATATACATTTTACTTATGCATGTGTTCTTTATTGCATAGGTTGTATTGACCATGACGTTGACAGAGAGAGCCACAGATTTTATAGCTCACAAAATGTAGAATTTTGTTCCCGATGAATCCGCAGCATCTCTGACGCTGACATTTAACTGTCCTTCAACTGAAGTCAGTTGTTAATTCATTTAGTATGGAACATTTGAATAAAGCCTACATATATGAACAGAACATCACCGGGGCGTGTAAATGAAGAAAGTAAAATTATTATAAATTATTATAAGCAGCATTTTTTGGCACGTGATCCATTTTTTATTCTTTTTTTAATATGAGATGTTTTAATAATTAAAAAGATGACTTATAACTTGTTAAATAGACTATATTTCTAACGCTTGGTGAATATGAATTAATTCGATGGTGGAGGTGAGTTCCGCTTTCAGGCCAAGACTTCCCTATATTAGTCCACAAAAAACACAACACAAATTTCTATATTTAGAGACCGTTTGAGCGTCCTGAAACATGGCGCTATTTTTTTTAACGAAAGCATTACAGTCTTTAGACAGTTCATTGCATTAAAAATGCATTCTTAAAAGAGAACAAGCCGTTTTACTGTCGCTCTGAGAAGTGGAGGTTTAAAATAAAAAATATATGTCATATATTGAGCAGACGGTGTGACAACAGGACATAAGAAAATGATCAATAGCACAAAAAATAGTCTTTCATTTTAGAAAAAAACAATGTATGTAGAAACAACGATTTAATTCTTATTTATAATTGTATTAAATTAGCTCCATTTATGTTCAGTTATCAAATGTGAGTTATCTGCGAATAGAGTGATTAGTGCCCTGATGTTTCACGTCCAGATGTTTATCATGATGCAGAGGAAAACGTCTGTATGATCATGACTTGAAATGTGATGTTAATTGAAACTTGTCTGCAAACCTTCTCGATCGACATTTTAATCGCTCGATCATTCACGTTGGAAAAAAAAGATGTCTTAAGCCGCTCTGAAATGAGGATCCAACACCATTTAATTTAAGACACACTAAAGAATTGATCTCATTCTGGTTAATCTCAGCATTATGTGTGTGAACTTAAATGAATTACCCCTTTTTCTGCTCAGTGGGACAAATTACAACTCGGCCTGCAGTAGGCCTATAAGTTATTTTCTGCAGTAGCCTCTACAGCACTTTGCCAACAAACATCCACAAAGTGAAAAGTAATCTGTTTCCCTGAGAAAATCTGGAGTCACTCTTTATCTAAGCTGAGATGTCACTTTTTTTTTTTAAGAGTGTGAAAGTTTGCCCAAAACAGACTGGAGCACCCCTGCGCTGAAGTTTGAATCGATTTGGCACGTGCATTGACAGAACCATTTAAACACCGTCATTAAATGCAACATGCCTCCCCTGAGGAGAGCTGCGCAGTGTTGTTATTGAAAATGTTGCAGCCAGATGAAGGCATCGTGGCTCCGGGGAGGATACTTTGGGGCCCTGCCAAAGCCTCAGGCGTCAACAGGCTTGTGCTCTAATGTGTGGTCCTCAATGGGAGATATATTGCTCAATGCTGAAGCTTTATCTCCATCGTGATGACACAAAAAGTCAGCTCGAACCCAGAGGGAGTTTTCTGTGGCAACTTCAGCTAGAACATTGTTTACATGGCAACTAGATATATCGTCATTGTGTAGCCTACTTGTTTCATCCAATGTAGTGTGTGGCTGAGAAAAAAAAAGTCTCACTAGCTATATGTACTAAAATTGTTCAAATCTTACCACCTTTGATCAACACATGAAAACATGAGAAGTAAAGGTAAAGAAGTGATTTACTGCTTTAATCCTTTCAATATACATTTTTCTTTGGTTGCATTTTGTTCTTATTTTTAAACCTATATTTCCAATCATTCTGGCAAATTATGTTTCAAATACCATGCCAAATATGATTCAGGTTAAGTAAAAAAAAAATACAATATTTTAAGCTGCAAAGTACAATTGTAAAATTCAGATATTCTTATGCATTCTCTACGTTTTATCTCTAAAATCACACAATAATGTTCCGCAGGTTTAGTGTTATATTTTTTGCATAAATAATAAAAAAATCCTATCATGATTTTTAAATCCTCACTAACACAATCTTGTCTTTCTAGTGAATGAACACATTTTTGTGCACAGTAGTTGTGTTAGTATGGTGGGTTTGATGTTAATCAGTGAGACTGTCCCACAGCGATTGCAGGGATGGAGCCGTCTACCTGCTCACACAGGGATGAATGAAATAAAGCCCCTGGAGCTGATGGAGAGCTGAGGAATGCAGGTCAGCGCTGCAGGAGAGGTCGGCATTAATCAGAGCCAGATGTGCATTACTGGCTCCTATAGTTATTATTCATACTCCCCAAACATCACATCTCTCAAAGCTGCAGAGAGTCCCTGAGATGACAGAGTGGGACTGGTTTACATAACCCCGTCTCTACAATACCTTGTACAAATAAGCAATGAGTCAGAAATGGACATCCAGATTAGGTAATGATTTGAGGGGATCGGGAGGTATGACAGGGTTTCGGGGAGAGCCACACGTGTGAATGAATGAATGTTTGCATGGGTATACTTCACTCAACTCGATGGCTTTTACATTTAAATTTCAAATTAAAGTTTAGTTTCAGAATCAAAATCATGTTTAGTTTTCAGTCTTGCAATATAAAAAAGATAACGTTTAGCGAACACAAAATATCCAGACTTTAATTAAATGTGAGAAAATATACTGTTATTGCAAAAGTAAAAAAAGAAAGGACCTCGTTGTGTTTTCAGGCCTGTGGTTGAAACTGCTGTATAAAATCTGCAAAGCAATGTAGTTACTGTGTGAGCTGTGGTGCACGCACGTTTGTGCCGCATCGTCTTCGTCTTTTTCCACAAAATAACACTTAAAAGCTAACTGCCATCAGGCCTTACTTTCTTTCAAACAACCCCTCCCCCATTCAGCGGGAAATCGAAGCATCCTGTGAAATGTAAAACATTTTTCTAGGCTGTATAAAAACCAAAACAAGACCCCCAAAAAAGTCCTGGCGAGGTTTTAAAAGTCATCCTGTCAAAATAAAGCTCTGCAATGCATGTTAAAAGGCTGTGGGAAGTGATGTCACAGGATATGCATGCGCTGATGAATAACACATTGTGTCCTTACTGCTAACAATAAGCAAAAGCCAGAATGACACCTATGGTGTCGCTGTGGGTCTGTGAACCAGAATAAAACAGACTATGTAATGAATGAATTACTGGTTTAAATAAATGTGAATGAGAAAACATAGCTGCAGCAATCTGCCTGCCACTGCATGAAAAGACAGCAGAGATCAAACTGTGTAAAGTGCTGTGTTAAGCAAAAGTCGGATTAAGAACTAAAATCACAAGTATGTTGCTCTTCTTGTTTTTGGTCTTGCTCTGAAGCAAACAACACAGCGTGCTCTGGCATTTTGCAGGGGGAGGTAATCACCCTGCCCCCAGCCTACCTGAGACCTGCTGCAGACCACATTAGAGAAATGATTTGGAAACTTTAACTAACTTGCACACATTTTGAGCTGTGTCTTTGGTGTCAGCTGACTTTTCTGTCTCAACCTTGAGTTCCCAGATTAAGCTAAATCTAACTTTGGTAATAGTTCTCAAATAAGACATAATTTGGCAACGAGGTAAAGTGGTGAAGGGAGAAGTGTACTGCCGAAAACCCCCCACAAAAATAAAGTCCAAAAACCAGATGTCAGAAAATACCATGCAGATATATATATTTGAAGTATATGACTCACAGAGAGGCAGCTCATTCAGCTGGTTTGATAAAAATGTATCATATATACAGTATAATGGCACTAGATGCACCACAAACTTTTATTATACCTCCCAGTAAATTCAAAAATGCAAAAAAAGTTGAAAAAATATTCCTGACAGAATTTTGGGACTAGATGACGATGACCGTCTTAATGACTCTATCGTTTACAAGCTTATGTCATTTATACATGTCTTCAAACTATCACCAGAAACAAACGTACTTGTAATATAAATCATAACAAAAAAAACTACAGTCACAGCATTCACAAGATTAACAGATCCCTTTCTTCAGGTTAATTGAGACGTTTTTTTGCTTTTACTATGCACTGATACATTATGTTACATTTTGTTGACCACACTTTGTTTGTTTCAATGCAAAAACATTAAAAAAAAAAAAAAATCTAAATACCCCCCCCCCCCTCAGTATATCCAAAATGTGCTTTGTCCTCTTTTTACTACATTTCCATTTAAAACTCATAAAATCTAAAAAGTTTTTCTGTGCCCTTTGATATAAAAGGCTGACAGCTGGACCTTAAGGTATACTGACAGTAGTGAGGTCATGATCGTGTAAATTTATCAGGAGCTGAGGCTGAACAGACAGATTTTTTCGGTCTCCCAGGGAATCTGAATTCCTGCGTGAGCCGCTGGCATACATCTCTCCTCAGGAACATCTGGGAGCCTCCCTACCACTGAGGAAACAACAGTCAACATCAGGGCTTAGACTGAGCTGCAGGAAAAATAATACAGCCCAATGTCTGCGGACCAGCTATGGATGTACAATTAAAACCAACGGAATATATGACTGCATTGGGTCCATATAAGGTGTGATAAGTGGAGAGCAGTTGTAACAGACTGCTGTCAGCCTTGAGAGAACTTTTCAGAGCACTCTGTTTAAAAGCATTCCCTTCCCTATTTAGTGTTTGGTCATTAACCCTTCCCCAGGTTACTAATTTATAGTGTTTCTTTTATTTGGCTTCACTTGACCCTCCTCGTCCCTTTCCATAAAAACTGAGAGGGTGCCCTGTTGCTTTACAACCAGTTAAATTACACTTTGATGTTTCCTCTCTGTTTTCTGCAGTGATTAAATTGCTGACCCTAGTAAACGTGTGACCTCGGCTAACTGAAGAGGTCTGCAGCTTGTCACAGACTCACTCTGGCAAATTAGCGGGATCAGCCGGTGATATTCGATGCATTTGTGCATACATCCATGAATACTGAAGCGAGAACAAGTCAAAAACACATTCCTCGGAATGCCAGAAAAGCTGGATCCAGTGCAGTGGAATCTTGGCTCCCAAAAGAAAGCAGTGTGTGATGGCTCTGTTCTGCATGCGGGAATGCTCATGGATGTTTGTGGCAAAGGATTCTGTGTAGTTAGCGTGAGAGAGGAACAAGAGATGCGCTTGGAGCTCCAGACAAGAGGAAGATGTTGGTTCGTTCAGATTCTCGTGGTGATAGAAGTCTGTATTGAGAAGCTAAAACAAATAGTTTGTCATTGTTGCTGAATTGTTTTTATCCCCAGAGAATTAAATGGAAAAGTAATGATACGTTACTCTCACTCTTGCTGGAGGTAACAATATCCGTCAGCCGGCTTTTCTGACTCTCATTAATCAACATGTTTAGTCACATTTGTTAAACAAGTTCATAAAATTAAGTACAAATCCAAACATTGTCTTAGTTATTTCTTGTAGCAAACTGTTGACTTGATGGTTGTCTGCAGTTGGCCCTGGTCAAGAAATAAGGAGTATTCAAACTGAAACGCTTAGGGGATGACCTTAGTACCATTGGCTGTCTACGAGAACTACATATCATCATGGGCTTTTTCTCAGTTTTCATTCTGACCAACTGCAGTGATTTGTCAAGCTGGCATAGAGCAATAGAAAAACAACAAGATGGAGGACGCCTTTTTGGAGCTGGGTTGGTTGTACGATGCAGATTTCATGATAACAAGGGAGTAAGAGAGGAGTCACAAATGTCAATTTCTTTGTTGGTAATTTTGTCATTTTTGTCTATTTTTAAGGCTACTTAGACAAGCTGTAACTCAAGTTTTCAAAGATGGTGGCGGCCAGCGCTGCATTGGTCCATTATAAGCCAATTAATGTTTGCTTACATCTGAACTAGTCACAGTCCATTATGTAACTCAAGGCAGCTGTTGTGCTAAGTATCTATTCAGTATTGTACCCGGACAAGGTTCACCAACTGTATTAACAACTGTAGAGCTCTGCAAGCCTGAAAATGACTTCATCATATAACCCTATTTAAATATATGGTTGCTTGAGATACCTTCATACTGTACAGATGAGATTCAAAGTGAGAAAGTTAATTTCTCAGAAAGAAAGAAAATACGTGTTATCCAAAATGTTGAGCTCTAATTGCTGCAGATTCCTGTGTTAATCTTCGTGCTGCAGGTCTGTATACAAACAAACTCACTCACTCACCATCTTCCTTTCCCCTCATCTGTGCACCCAGCTGCACCCCTTGCCTCACCGGATATATGCCGTGCTCAGCGGAATAATTTCATTTTCTCTCCCTGATGCAGATGCCAAACAGGAACCTGGAGTTGACCTGTCTTACTTCTTAGCATTGCAAGCCCAGGGCTAGAATACAAATATTGCACATTGCTTTAGCATGAGGCCTGAGCAAGGGGTTGGTGATGTCAGAACATCTGCCTGCGTGGAGACTGTAAGAGGGTCTGACAGGTGGGCCACAGTGATATGAGGTCATGAACTCCAGCTGGGCGAGCTGTGCTGTTCCATTAGCGTCTCAGTTGGGGCAGGTTTGAGCCAGAGAGCAGGGGAGGGCTGCTGCGGCACCGAGAGGATCTACTATTGACATTTCATTGTGAGACACCAGCCAAAGGAGCTCTAATCCTTGAAAACAAACATGCATGTTGTAGACAGCCTCCGCCTAGCTTCATCACCCTGAAACTATTTAGTCATCTTACCTACCACTGGAGCACTTGGCTCAGTGAGTCACCAATGCCACAAAGAGTGAACTATCTTTCTATGTCTCTCTCTTTAGTGAAAAGACAGGAGCCACTGACATTCCTCATAACAAAAATGGAAAGTGACTATGTACAGTTCGTGTACATTACTATTAGTCTAATTGTCCTGAACTTGGTCTAATTTTAAGACTATGTTGTTGACTGGTGCTGCAGAAGACTTAAACTTGTGTTCCTGTGCATGGAGGAGACCTTTATGAGCTGGTTTCAGACCAAAACAGCCAGGACAGGGTTCTCCCGTGCCCATTTGCAGGAAAGGCAAACAGAGCAGCTGACAGAGCACACTGTTCACACTGGCCCACAACCAGAGCCCTTCAGCTTATTTATTCACACGACTGTTTGTTTATTGGAGGAGAAGGGACAGCTTTCTTCATCTTCTAAAAGGAAACAAAAAAAGCAAGCGAGCGCTTACAGGAACAGAGCATGGTCTGTCGCAATATGGACGCTAACAAAATTGAAAGTGACAAACACAATGTTGTTTACATCTGAGGGGGGCAAGGCTGTGGGGTAAAGTTGTGGTCGTACACAAGGCTTGCCATACACAGGCGGGAGGGAAGGAGCAGGTCTTTCTGCACGGCTCAGGTTCAAGGTGGCGTCATTGAGAGATGTGAGGGGGAGGCCTTTCGAGGGTTGTGTCACAAGTCACTCCAATGTGTAGTGACATACCTTTCAAACAGAAAACAACATTTCTTCTCTGAGACTTTGAGACTCTCTGCATGCAGACAAGGGCCTTTGAACTCTCAAATTAAACATTACAGAGGTGCTGTTAGCTTTAGGTAAAAGTCGTTTTGTGTGTAGGTTTTGAATTTGATGATAAGCAGACAAAGTCACTTGAATGTGCTGCCTCATTGTTTTTCATCCACATTTTAAACAAAGTATTGCTCTGCTGAATATTCCGATTGTAGAGTAATAACAGTAGTTATAGAACTTCTATTGACAACATGTGCTATTCCTTCAGCCCTGAAATGGTCAGAACATTGTTCTTAAGAGCTTGGTTGAAAATAATGTAATAACAGTAAGTATATGATTTATAATAACCGTAAAACCAAAAAATCAGAGCAGCTCACCAAGCAAAACCAAATTGCTCGTTTGTATTTTATTCGAACCACAGGATAACATCCAAACCAAAAAAAAATCACGCATGTTTTATGAGGTTGTGAGCAGAGCCGTTCCAATCCACATCACATAATTATTCTAGTTTTACTCCAGTGATCAAGTGTCAGACTCCTGTAGAGTTGGAGAACACAAAATAGGCTCATTTAAAAGAAGTATGGTTGAAATGAATGAAATGTTTTTGTTTTGTTCTTTCAAACCCTTCAACTCTTATAACTCTTATAACAGAACTTATAATTAGCAGTGTCCTTTATAAAGACAACCGTAGATCTTAACAGCCACAATGTGTCTTTTCTTACAGGAAAAGACAATGGTGGTCTGACAGATTCTGAGTTGCCACAGAGTGTTGACCCGTCTGGGATGGAAGGAAGCTACCTGAACCTAAAGGTACCAGGTGAAAAGGGGCCAAGCGATCGACCGGGGTCTGACCTTTCAAGCCCACTGGATAAAAGTGAGGCAGAGAGCAACAAAGGCAAGAAGAGGCGCAATCGCACCACGTTCACCAGCTACCAGCTGGAGGAGCTGGAGAAGGTCTTCCAGAAGACACACTACCCAGATGTTTACGCCCGTGAGCAGCTGGCACTGAGGACAGACCTGACAGAGGCTCGGGTGCAGGTAAGGGAGAAACACCCAGGTACACACGGAACAGGTATTTCTGCATTAATTTAAGCAAATGATCCAGCTAATACAACACATTTGATCTTAAATTGAGTCCCTTTTTTCAACAACAAAAGTTGTGTTCAGAAGACCTTTAGGTTAAAAGGACTACTTTGGTAAAGTAAGGAAGGCTTAATCTTAATAGTAGTAAACGTGGTTGAGGTTAAAGAAAAGGGAAAAGAATTCAGTGTCTGGTGTTAAATCTGATCGTTTTGACCAATCCATTCCTCCTGACCAAAAAAGCTTTGTCTTGTTAATGTAAAGTTGTTTTTTATGCTGATGACTGTGTCAGTTCCTTGTTAGATGAACGGTCTCCATGTGCAGTGTTGTTTGACTGCAGTTGTCTATGTTTGCATGCTAATAATCACTCTGGGAGCGAAGAGAGAGGGCTGGGAGAGTTCAGATTGGCACGATGACAGATATTGTTTTGGAACAGCAGACAGCAAGGCCTATTGTTCTCCAGCTCTCTTTCTGCCTGCCAGGTTTGGATCAGAGTGGGATGGGTGGGACTGAGGGAATACTCTGCTTGTAGCTCTTACATGCTGCAGGCTCTGCAAAGGGGGTGGAGGTCAAGGGTTTTCTCCCCAGCACTACTGCTTTCAAACTGCTTCATCACACAACTGTTGAGGCACAGAGGGGAAAAAAAACACTTGGGAAAAAAAAAGAGAAGAAAAGTCATCAAAGCTATTTGGAGAAGATATAAAAACACTTTGAGATGCCAGTTTCAATTTCCACACACAGTCCACGACATAGTCAGGGACAGAGAAGCCAGCCTGGTCCTTGTGGTGGTACAGTGAAATAAGTACATTCATGGTGAGTTCACACAGACCCATCTATTCCCCAGATGAATATAATTACCTTCCTCATCTGACAGACTCTGTTGAGTCACAATGAGGTTTGACCCATACTTCTAAAATCAGACCCTAAATATGCACGCAATCAGACTAAAGCCCACATTTTCATCTGAAGGTCCATCAAGACACAGTCCAGGGATATCCAATCGTTGAATACCATGGGGCACTCCAGGCTTGGCAAGCGAGGAAAATCCTTTTCATCTCTGAAACAACAGCCATTGAGATCCAGAGTACAGATGTTTTCTGCCAAAATGCCAATGTCAGGATCCTACAGTTTCATCCTCAGTTTCATGATGAATGTCTCCACAAAGCAGGGCTGCAGTTTTCCATAATCACATCTGTGACTTCTGCTACCACTAGTTTATTTACCACAATTAGCTCTCAACCTCAGACTTGAACCTCAGCACACTGCCTACTTCTTTAATGAAGGAGGCGGCTGTGTGTAAGTGAGTACCGAGTTAGTCTATCAATCGCCGCCATCCTGGATGACAGAGATGAGGTGAGACGGCTGGACTTCAAAGCTGCGTTTGGAGCTTTGCACTCTGCCCTCCCTCTCTCTCTTCCTCTCTCTCTCTCGGTCTGCTGGCTCCAGAGCATAAATAAAGCTCTTTAATGGCTCTGTAAGCTGCCTCTTGCTGTCAACGTCTTTAGCAATTACTGTATCACCGCCAAGCACTTTGAGCTCCAAGAGCGCTGAGCCACCTTCCTTGCAGATGTCTGCTCGATAAAACAAACAAGAGTTGTAAGTGTTTTCATTCGGTAAATAGCTATTTTCTGCTTTTAATAGATGGGTCACTTTTGAGAAATCGTAAATTCTTCTCATGCAATCACTGGCTGTTCTTTCTAATGAATTTAGAAGGTTAGAAGCTTGGGAATAAGAGACACAGAGCAGCAAAGGACACATGTGACTTCATAATGTTCTCTGAATGATCTCCCTGCCAAACTATTTGGCTCCGCTCTCATTCTTACTGCCGTTCAAAGGCAAATCTACGGAGAGTAAACCCTCTGTGAAACATGACACACTCAGTACCCAGAGACCCAGAGAAAAAGGGGCATGTATGTGCTCTTGTTTGCTTGTTTGCAAGAGGTTCCAGTAAGTGCGTGAGAGCAACCAGGTTAGCAGAATGCATTTGTTAGTGACTGACTTTGACTTTTGTATATAACATGGTATGTAAATGTGTGTTTTCCGTATGTGTATGCTGTGTCCGCTTCTCTCGTCTGCACGCCTCCGAAAGGTCAGAGGGGTTAGCTGCGGAAAGCCAAGGGCTTAGGCGTCAGGAAATTAAACATGAAATGAAAACAAGCTCCAGTTTGAACATTCTCCCATCTCACTTTCCAATATCCCCACTTCCCCTCGGTGACTTAAAAGGGAGGAGGCAGGAGAGAGAGTCATAGAGAGAGGGGGGGGGGGGGGGTCAACAATGGGGGGAAAGAGGGGCTGGGGGGGGGGGGGGGGGGGTGAGCTTCGACAGCGCGGTGGGAGAACGACGAAAAGATTAACAGGAGAGGATATAGACGAGTTATCTTGAGCTATCACAAAAGAGAAGATAGGTCCGTCACTGATAAAGATTACATTTTAAAAGAAATGTGAAGATTTGAAACACTTATTATGCTACATTTGTGTTTGAGAGGCAAGCATCTGATTTTTCCAAAATGTCCTCATGACTAATACCCTAGAAGGTGAGATTTAATGAATGGAATTGAAGTTTTTTATTTCGAACGTGGAAAAAAAAGAAAAAAAAGAAAATACAACAAATCATCAGACAGAAAAAAAGTTATATGTCCAAACAATGAAAGATATCATACAAAAGAAGCTTTCAAAAACAAGTTACTTCAATTAACACATTTTGAAAAGATCATGATTATTTAAAAAAAATAGTGTATTATAAAAGTTAAGTTACCTATGTTTAACTTAACAAAGTCATAAGAATAGAAAACAGACTTTTGGTTTCAAGTGGGACACGTACAATTTTTACACTAAATCACCTGACCTTCACCTTATCTTCACCTTATCTTTGTCATAACAAAAAAAGATGTAGCTGCATAATTACAAAAGTAAATTCTACTTATGTGCATGCATGTCTCATATGAATCAGTTCTTCTGGGAGAGACTGGATTTCCCATGAAAAAAACACTATTGGGCTTTATACAACATTGCTGCTCTGATGTTTTTAATATAAGACTTAAGAATCTTCAATAAATACCAATAAAAATGATCATGATTAAGAAAAGGGTAAGAATATAAAGCTATTTCAAGATACTGTTGAGTTTGCAAAAGGAAATATTTGACTGCAACTTAGAGAGCACATTAATAATGTTATTGCTTGACAGGGAGATTTTTTAAATCCAGATTTTTCCAAATATTGCTGTTGAAGTGTTTGTTTAATAAAATCCATTGGAACTGTTGATCTCCCACATGCAATATGTCACAAGCCTTATAACTATCTACATACAGTCCCTCTGCCTACTAACGCTCATAGGTACACCACATTATATTGTGTTTTAGGCCCTTTTTGAGGTTCTTAGTGTCTTGTGTTTGAAGTTATTCATTTGTCTATTTAAAGGCTTTGTACTCAGGGACTATCATCACACTTCTGTCTTAATGTTGTCTTGCACATCAGTATAATGATAATAAAGCTTTGTGACTTGTAACATGAGAGGCACACACCAGGGCTACATATTGATCTCTGATATTCAAACAGTGTCATATATTTTCAAATTAAACTAAAGCTGTACGTCAGCTTCACCATCCCCAGTCCAATCAGGCCTCTTAAGTCGAGGATTATATTTGGAAACCTGTAATGTTATGAGCTCAAATAACCAAAGAAAAACTAAAGGAAAGACACGACGAACCCTAAACAATAATAGACCTTGAATCCTCAAGGGGAACACAACAGAGACTGTGAGCCCCCCTCCAAACATATGAGATAATTCAAAGGGGCAACAACCCCTCACCTTGACATTGGGGTTCAGCTAAAACCTCACATATCAGTTTACGGCTCTGCAAGGGGGAACTGTCCTCTCATCTCACCAGCTGACCTGAGGAATGTCGAAGTCAGAAGACATTTCTTTTCATCAGCTTATTGCAGACACACAGTCCACAGATAAATAGGCCACAGGAGGCTGTAAATGGACTTCTCTTTGACTTAGACTATCGGTTTTAACCTGTAGAAGAATCACATGTTTGTGCACATGTACAGCTGGTTTGATCTAATTTGATAAGTTGAAGAAAACTCTGTTATAGAGCCATAAGTGGGGATATGAGGAGGTTGACTGAGGGGAAATTGCATGTATAGCATGGGACTGTGGAAACCACAAGCTGATTGGGCTGGGAATCAACCCATAATCCAAGTTCAAACCCCTGTGTCGAAGCAGGATCGCTCTCTCTCTTCTCTTTGAAGAATTTTTCCTTTCCCTCATGGGAGGAGAAGATTCAGACAACCAACAAATAGATACAGATAAACATGTGGAGGCTCCCAGTGCCCCGCTTTAATCGTCTTTTCTCTTGAATGGAGATGTGAGGATGTTATAGGAACAAAGCTACAGCTGACAACAGAGTTGGTTTAGAATGAGCAACATGTATTGAAAATGAGTTGGCTTCCACTGGCCTTTAACTTTAAAAAATGAAGGTACATAATGGTTAAAAAGAAGACGACCCATGCGAGAATCATTCCTTAAGTTATGTTATTTAGATATATGACACCAATATTCATTTAGATTTTATTGAACTGCATTGAAGGCAGGCAGTATTGAACAGAAACTGTTTAATGGGGTCACTCAATGTCAGTGCTGACATTTTCATCTGCAAATAAGTCAAATTTGTTCATGGAGACCAAAATCACCAATCTTCAAACTTGTCTCAAAAGGACTTGAAAGTGTATTACAGATAATACCACTACATTAGTCCCTGAATTTGGATTTGAATTAACTCTCAAAAAACTGGAATGCAGATGAAGCGGGAAGACATCTCAGGAAGAGTAACACAGGATGAATGTCTCATCAAGAACAGACAGGAAGACACCAGGTGTAGATGTATGGAATGAAAATACCAAATGTAGAGATTTTTAAACAGCACAACACTGAATTTCTCTCGGTTAGAATTCTTACTCATAACATCTTCTAGTCTCCAGTCCTGCTCTCCTTTAATGCCTTGCTCAGCTCTTTTGAGAGCTGGCTTAAAAACCCTGCACTTGTTCTGTCAGCAGTTACTGAGAGTACACCCTGTCTGCAAAGTAGCATGCCTACCATTGTCACAGGGAGAAATTAGCCAGCAGAACCTTATTCATATGCTGCATACAAAACTTAATAATCACAAAGATGGACGGAGAAGAGCATATATTTGGTCAAAAGTTGAATTTTTCCTCACGGATCATACAGAGGGATTCCCTACTGATACTGCGCTGACATGTGGGGGAGAGCACACCTTTCTCAGAGTGATTTATGAATGGCTGCCGGCCCAGATGTGGATCTGTCGACGCTGGCAGCCTGAAGGGAGGCAGAGGCCCGTGTATCAAAGGGAGGAGCTGAAATGTGCAGCACCAGGGGAGACTCACCATTTTCACATCAATAGCTCCGTGTGGACGGCACTTTAAAGACACGTCAAGTCTTTAAACCTGGGCCTCGACTTTTATGTGCTGCAGAATTTATTTGCTCCACTATCTTCATTTTATGTGGCTCAGTTTCCTACTTGGTCTTACTGAGAGAGGTATGGCCTCTGTTTCGGCCAAAAAAAAAATCTCCTGAGGTTTTGTGTGAAATGAGATCTATGAAGGAAATGTTTATAATTATATTTAAGTTTTGGGATGGGCCTTGATTTGGGATCTTTTTATGTCCAGGTATGGTTCCAGAATCGTAGAGCCAAGTGGAGGAAGAGGGAGCGTTTTGGACAGATGCAACAGGTCCGGACCCATTTCACTACTGCTTACGAGCTGCCTCTACTGACTCGACCTGAGAACTACGCACAGGTGAATAAAGGAAGAAGAGCTTGTCTGGTCGCTGGTTATTAATATGCATAGGTATACTCCTGATCTGCTAAGATATGAGAATCATACTACCACAATTCCAAAGAAGTTGGGACGTTGTATAAAATGTAGAATGTTAAGATTTGCAAAACATTGAAACCCCATATTTAATTGAAAACAACACAGAGATGACTAGTCAATGTTGAAACTGGGAAATTTCACCGGTGGCAATGGGACAATGATAACAAAAATTGGAAAAGTTGGAAAATGCTTAAAAAATTATTAAGGTTAACTGGAAACAGGTTAGTAACATAACTGGGTATATAAAGATCCATACATAAACCGGATGCAGAAACTCAGCCATCTTCTCTGGGTCCGGGCTCATTTTAAATGGACTGAGGCGAGGAGGAAAACTTTCTGAGTATATATGTGTCTTTCTGTTTGGAAATCCTGGATGCCCCATTCTTTTCTCTTTTTAAGGAGGAGTGGAACCATCCAGTTTGTTATTAGTGCACAGTTCAAAAGCCAGATGTATGGGGGTGCATTAGTGCACATGGCATGGGGAACTTTCACTTCGGGAAGGCACCATTAATGCTGAACCATATACTGTATTCAAGCTTAGGAGCAACAAATACTGACAACTCCTTTTTCAGGGTGGGCCTTGCTTATTTGAGCAAGACAGCGATAAATCATTTTGTGGATGCATGACAACAGTTAGACTCCAGGGGAGGCTATAGTCCTCCAAGAGGATGGCCCAGTTTCGGATCCGACCTGTGGCTCCTTTCCCGGGTGTCCTTCCCTACTCTCTCCCTCCCCGATTTCTGACTCTATGTCCTGTCTCTAAATAAAGGCATAAAAAACTAAAATAATCTGTTTAAAAACAACGTTTTTAAGTCGAGGATAGTTGCAGATTCAGCAGCAATCTCTCAGTAGGTTCATAACAATGAAAATGAAAATACTTCTTAAAGCTTCTTTAACTTGTGATTCTGTATTTCTTAGATCCAGAACCCTTCATGGATTGGCAGCAGCAGTGGAGCATCTCCAGTGCCGGGATGTGTTGTGCCTTGTGACTCCGTTTCTTCTTGCATGCCGCCACACCCTCATGGTCCTGGAGGCGTCCCTGACTTCCTGGGAGTGCCCAGTCCAGGCAGCAGCCACATGGGACAGTCACACATGGGCAGCCTTTTTGGGGGTCCTGGGATGGGCGGGGGAATCAACGGCTATGATCTCAATGTCGATCCAGACCGTAAGTCGTCCAGCATAGCTGCGCTGCGCATGAAGGCGAAGGAACACAGCGCAGCCATCTCCTGGGCAACATGATGTCCCAGCCTAGTTCCACCCTGCCCCCATATGGCCCTCCTCTCTGGAGCAGCCATCAGCAAGTGCGGAGGGGTTGGTAGGGAGTTTTTCTGAGAGCACTAATGATAACGCAGGTCAAATGAACAGGGAGGGACTGTGGAGATAACAGAGGCCATTACAGCGGCCAACGCAACCAAGATAACAGCAGTGACTGTGACAATCAGCAGATGCTGATTGAAGTGAGAGTAAATCAGAAGTTTGCTAGAATATGTGTTCCTTTTTTTTGATTCCTCGATCTCTCAGGTCTCATTGAAATATGGGGTAGACCCTGACAAACTGGGTATCACTCATACAGGCTTCAGCAAAATAAGCCGTATAAAAAAATAGTTTACAGACAGGAATTCAGTGCCAAACTCAGCTTTATTATAAAGTATTTTAATTTAAATTTGATTCACATTATTTACTATCCTTTTTTACATACCACATATCCTGCCCCACTGGTTTATGTTTTTCTACTTTGTCTCTTATACTGTATAAATAAGATCAATTACATCTCAACATTCAGTGTTTGTATTTTAGAGTACAAAAAACAAAACAAGGCCGCTCATTGAGAGCAAGCTCAGATGCAAACAAAGTGCCAGGAGTTTCTTTTCTTTCACTTTCCATCACGAGCTGTACTGTTCCAGCAAACAATGATTAGTTATGAAAGAAACATTAATTTCATCTTGGCCTGCAATGGGTAATTCATGTCCCAGCAAAGGGGGACAGGGGTTGAATGCAACGAGTGAACAGAGTCTAATTGAGCAAGAGCAGACATGGCCTTTGCCAATTTACTGTTGGAGGAGGACGGCTATTGGATTGGCAGCAGTTTCAAACCAACGTGTCATTTCCTCCCCCAGGGCTGCCTCCACAGGTTCCCCTGCAGGGCTCAGGCCTCAGGTTACAGGAAACTCTGTCTCCACAGGCAGACAAGGAGCAGCAATGCACAGCAGCAGCCTTCAACACCAACTCGCCGCACCAGCTTCAATCAGCAACCCACAGGAATAGACACACTTAATTAGCATCAAAGTGAGCCCTCCTGGCCTGCAAATACAACACTACATCACGGAGTACACAGTGAGGACATACTGCACACACAGCTCGACACGCTGTAATAATCAATTCATGGTTAGATGTAGGATCAGCGGAGATGACTCCTGGATCTGTAGCTTGCTCACAGGATCCGTCACATGCCCCGAGACTGCAGGCCAAATCAGTGGCCCCAACCAAGTGTTCTGTAATGTTTAGGTAATATGATGACATCTGAGCTGGACTGCAGGAATGCGGTGACTATGTCCAGTGATTGCAGGGGTGTCTCTGTGTGTTACCCCGCTGGAATAAGCTCGTCACCAGAGCTGGGCTGCCGGCTGAGGCTAGAGACAGGCTTCATTATTCTTTTGGCTGATCTCTCTATGACGCCTGCTGGACTATATATCTGTTTTCTTTCCCCCTGTGAGGACAATGGCGAGAGAGTCTGTTTCTGCTGCTCCTCATACCTTGTTCATCATTGTACTTATCTGTGCCCATTATAACCCTCCTGCTTGAGAGTTGGACTGCAACGTACAAACTATTTTCAGTATTGATTCATGCAAGAAAATAGTGAAAAATCACAATTTAGCACGATCATTGTCCCATTTAACCAAACAGGAAGTCTTCAAAAACCCTAGCATGGGATACCAGCATGGGATGCATAACCATTGAACAAACTTGAGGTAGTTCATGTTTTGTATAAATGTTAAGCATTGGCTACTATATCATGTCATGCCAAATGTCTGTGTAGGATGTTGGAGCTAGCTGCTTGGCATAGCAGCATATACCAAATGCTAATACTTAATACTGGTATTGGCCTCCAAAGTGCCTAAAATGCAGTATTACATATCAGCAATCATGCCAGTCAATGCACTCATCTGATATAATATGAGTTAGTCTCGTAAAAAACCCAACTGGTTTGATGTCAATTATCCTGAGACAATGAAAAACAACAGTGTGGTGCTAGCAGAAGGTGGATATATCAGCAATCTGTGTTTTCCAATGAGATTACATCATTATTTACATCCACACAGGTATAGGAAGGGTGCTGGGTATCTGCCACTGCTCAAGTCCAGGTAATGGATTAGATATTGGAAGGGGGGGAAGGGTCTTAGAACATCTCTAGCTCTAAAAATTTAGTGTCTTGTCTGTTTATAGTGCTCAGTTATTGCAAGGAAAATATATCTTCATATTGCTCAAATCCCTTCAGTGACAAAACAGATGGCTGTGCTTTCAAATGAACCCCTTTCCTTTGAACAAGAGAGTTAATAAGCTGACAACATGACGATTACTTTGACTTGACTGTTCCTGCTGTTAATATATTCAATACAGAGGGTTTTGTTGGCATCAAACAAAAACATAAAGGCCTCTGAAAGAAATCAGAAACATTTTGAACTAATATAGACTCTGCTGGATGTTGGGACTAAAAATCAAAAACAAATTGTCAAGATAAAAACAGTTTGCGGTCCAGTTAAATTACACGAGTTTAATTCCTACTTTGTTGTGTTTTGTTATTTTTCTCCCACCCTCAGTACGCAGCTCCGTCCATGTTGATACTACTGAAATAAAGCGATTAAAATTCATACTTGTGTCATTTTGTGTAAATATGAACAATATAAAGATCCTGTTCTTTTGCTTGTACGTTTGTTTTGCTTATTCGTCAAATAATGAACTGCCAGAGATAAACCAATGAAGTATTACAGCAATATTGCCAAATAATGTAAAAATTATATTCTGTTTGTTATTCTAAAGAGGTGCTCTGGACTTTTACAGAGGTTGAAATGGCTTTCTAATTTTCATGTGGCTTAAAGCAGCTTTTTTGTATATTAATCCTGTGTTTGTTATTCTGATTGTGACTTTACATAATGTGCCATTGCAATAAGTTATTGCACTTAACAGTTTTGGAGAAGTTCTTTGTTTAATTTCTGACTGCCACTGTGACAAAGGGCGAGTGGCTTTGTGTCCCAATAGAGAAATGTCTCCGGAGTCTGTCCACATTCAGCACCGTGAACTAGCATCACCGAGATGTGTTTTAAGGTGCTGGACATTTGTTTGTACAGAGGTAACTTGATATTTCTGTTTATGAATGTTTTGAGTTAATTTTGAAATAAATGAATCTCCAACTACTGACTGAGTCCCAACATGATTGTACTACTGGGGGGTAACACAACTGTTTGGAGGTTTTATGTTAGATATTTGTTTATCGTTGCTTTTTTTGTCTGAGCTCTTCCCACTAGGTTTTAATTGGGCAGGGCCAAAGGAAAAAGACTTTACTCAGCAACTGTCGCCCTCTTCACATTGCCAGTTCAAAGCGGTATATGTACGTCCCCTGTTATGCCTCATAACAAATGGTTGTGCAAAGTTGTCAAGCTTCTGATTCACCAGCGGTTGTAAGCTAGTTAGGAAAGCGATCAGCTCTTTTTTGCTAAGATAAGTTTTCTAACTTCTGTGTGCGTGTCTGTATGTGTGTGTGTGTGTCTTTCTGTCTTTCTGTGTGTGTTTGAACATTGATGATATGTGATCCCATTCTTTGTTTCGCATCAGTAACTTCCAGATTGGACGCTGTGTCCAAGCCATTAGGCCAAAAGTTAAGCCTAATAGTTTGAATGGGCCTTAAATACCTCCATGTGGTCTTATGCTAACAGTCCAGCTACAGACCCGGCCAGAGAAAGCTGACATGCAATTCAGTGTGCAAAATGGTTTCACACAGATGTTCTTTGTTTTTGCATTAGAGTACAATCATACAACCAAACAGTCCCAAGAAAAAAAAAAACGTTTATAATCAATTCAAAATTTCTTTCCAACACAACAAAAAATATGTCTGTAATCATTCCACTCTTTACTCCAAACTTCTGCTGAAGATCATCCACAGAAGGCACAACCACTTAGGACAACTCTCACGTAAGACAAAGTGAAGGCATGGCCAGGAGGAAAAAAAAGTATAACCTGTGCCAATTCACATCTTGCCATCTTGTGGTCTTTGCCCTACGAAGAATGTCGGAGCTCTCTCAGCTCAATCCCAGCAACAATGGCTGTCTTTTCCACAGTTGTGCAAGAGTTTAACTGGAGCACTGTTGTCGCATGAGAACGGTTAAACTCAAAAGAAGAATGCTGTCACCAACAAAGGCCTCAAGCTGAAACTGGAGATATATACATATAAATTCAAAAGCAGGGACAAAAGTTGAATTTTTCCAAAAAGGCTTGACAATTCCCTAAAACAGCTGCACACTGGTTTTGAGCTGAAATGATTCCAACAAGAGTCAATTATGCATTTGTCAAACTGTTTTCATCTCAGTATTTTGGATGTATCAAAGTGTCAACATCAACAGGATAGTGCATGTAGGAAATAATGACACTACCCATGTTAATTGTAAAAAGGGCCCAGTGATGTGTTCTTAGGGTTATTGGACAACAATAAAGGTCCATTTCACAGGGGAATAAAGTGGTATCCGGGTTTTAGAGACAAATTTCCATTTTTTGGTTTTGGTCTTTCATGAGATTGGTTAACACACACACAAACAAAAGAATGATAACCAGTGATAAATCATCAACCAGGAGCAAATTCAAGCTTCCATCATGACCCCAGGAAGACCATCTTACTGAAGCATACTGAGTTCCTTCACCAGACTGATAAAATCAGTGACCCTAACAAAAACTTAGACATAAAGAGACCTTCCTCTGCGTCTACACTCCCCTTTTCAGTGTAGATGACATAAATAAACACTCAGCAAGTGGAAGAAGAGCAGTCCACTGTGCCCTGAACAGCTCTCATAAAACCCTAATAGGTCACGCTGATCCAGCCAGGCTCCACCGACACCCTTAATAGAAGCCTGCATGGTTAAGGGACCATGAAGACCATTAGGGCACTTCAAAGTTCACCCAACTACATTAGAGCCCTGCTGATACGGCAAAGAGGGACAGATCCGATTCCTCATTCACTACTTCATTTCCCATCGTTCGACCTGTCACTCAGCCTGCTCCATAAACAAG